CTGGGGCACCAGCTCCCTACACAGTCAAAAATTTGCAGCCACTGCACTCCAGTCTAGGCGACAGAGTGAGACTCCAACTCAAAAAAAAAAAGAAGCATAAAGAGGAGCCAGGAATGATACAGTGTAGCATGAATGAACCAGAGCAGCAGGAATCACAGAGCATGTGCTGAGTGAGTCAGAACACTCCCCAATGTTCTCAACATACCCTCTGGAGTGCCGCAGGATATTTTTTTAATGTGTTGTTTCATTTCTAAGTAGGTGGAGATCTCCCTCTTTAACAGCAATATAATTACTTTCTATTACCGATTTCTAGTCTAATTCCATTATGGTCAGAGATGCATACTTTGGTTTCAGTACTTTAAAACTGAAGTGTATTATAATTATTATTCATATTGTTTTATTATTATCATTATCACTAAGGACACGGTCTCTCTCGGTGAATGTTCCACAAGCGCTTGAAAATAATGTGTATGTGCTACTGCTGGATGGATCATTCTACACATGTCGATGCATTCCAGTCGGTTGATGGTGTGGTCTCTCCCTTGCCGTTCCTGTTTATGCTATTGATTACGGAGATAAAAGTCTAGAGGTCTCCAACTATAACTGTAATTTTCCATTTTTCCTTTAAATTCTGTCAGTTTTTGCCTCATATATTTTGAAGGTCTGTGGCTAGGCGGATCGATGTTTGGGATTGTTAGATCTTCCTGATGAATTCATTCTCGTGATGTCATACCCTTCTGTATCCCTGGCAATTTTCCTTGCTTGAGGTCAGTTTTGTCTGATATTGCTACAGCCGCTCAAGTGTCCTTTTTGATTCGTATTTGTGGGGCATGAGTTTTTCTGCCCTTTAATTTTTTTAGCCTATCTTTATCATCATTTGAAAGTGAGTTTCTTGTGGGCAGCATGTTGTTAGGCGTTTTTTTCTTCTTTAATCATCTTGACAATCTTCCTTTTGGTGACACACTTTGAGTATTTAGACTTAATTTAATCGTATTTACATGTAGGCCTACCCTGTTATCATTTGCTCTCTGTTCTCTGATTTTCGTCACTCTGCTTCCTTTTACTGTCTGTTTTTGGATTATTTGGACATTTTTAAGCCTTCCAATTTATCTACTGAGTTGTCAACTTTATTTCTTTGTATAATTTTTTTTGTCATCATTATAGGAATGAATACACATCCTTAACTTTTCAGTCTAGTTAGTATTAGTATTTTACCATTTCAAGTGGAATGTAGAAACCATCCACCATATAGGTTCCTTTAACCTCCTTTATGTTGTAGTTGTTGTGTGTGTGTTTGTGTGTATTTGTAGTTTTTATTTGCTGGCTCTTCTTCATCTGTCTATCATACTGAGTGATCTTTCATAGAAACAAAGAACTGAGTTACATATATCTACGTATATTGAAAACCTCATCAGATAATATCACGATTTTTGCTTTTAACTGTCAAACATATTTTTTAAAACTTAAGAGGAGAAAAACAGTCTTATATTTGCCCAGCTATTTACCATCTCTGTTGTTCTTCCTTTGTTCCTAAAGTTTGAAGTCTCCCTCTGTATCATTTCCCTTTTGTATGAAGGTCTCCCTTTAACGTTTCCTTAGAGCAGGTCAACTGCTATGGCTTTGCTTAACTTTTCTCTGTGTGAGAATGTGTTTGTTTCACCTTCATGGCTGAAGTACATTTTTGCTGGATATATATAGAAATTTGGACTGACAGTGATTCGGAACTTTACAGATATTGCCCCAATTGTTTCTGGCCTACAGGAAAAATCTGCAGTCATTTGAATGAATGCCCACCTAAATGTTATCTGAAGTTGTTTCCGGCTGCTTTCAAGATTTTTTCGTTGTCTCTAGCTTTCCGCAGTTTGATTTCCTTGGGTTTTTCTGTTTGGAGTTTGCTGAGCTCTTGTGCCTGTAAGTCCATGTTTTCTATCACACTTGGGGTGCTTTCAGCAATTATTCTTGATACCATTCTGCACCATACCTTCCTCCTTCTGGAACTCTGATGACCATGTTCGATCCTTTGTTGTAGTGTCACTGGTACCTGATGGTCTGTGGGGAGTTTTCCCTATCCTGTCTCCCTGTTTTTCAATGGGATCATTTCTATCTAAAAGTATCCTTTTATGTCTCACTTTATAATTAATCTCTGCCCGTGGATTTTTACTTTAGTTATTATATTTTTCTGTTCTAACATCTCTACTTCATTCCTTTTCGCTGTTATTTCTCTGCTGTTATTTTACAACCATTTTAAGAGTGTTCACCCTTACTTCTTAGAGCATGGCTATATATAGCTTCTTTAAAGTCTTTGTCCAAGGAACCCAAATGTGCTAAAAAGAAAAAAACAAACAACCCCATTACAAAGTGGGCAAAAGATATGAATAGACAGTTCTCAAAAGAAGACAGACGAGCAGCCGACAGATACATGAAAAGTTGCTCAACCTCACTAGTCATCAGAGAAATGCAAATTAAAACCACACTGAGATACCACCTAACTCCAGTCAGGATGGCCATCATCAATAACTCAGAGAACAACAGATGCTGGAGAGGATATGGGGAAAGGGAACACTTCTACACTGTTGGTGAAGGTGTAAAACAGTTGGCCATTCCTAAAAGATCTAAAAATTGACCTTTCATATGACCCCGTAATCCCCCTACTGGAAATATACCCAGAAGAACTCAGATCACTCTATAAAAAAGATACCTGCACATGTATGTTTATTGCAGCATTGTTCATAGTAGCAAGAACAAGGAACCAACCATGCTGCCCGTAAAAAGGGGACTGGATAAAAAAAATAAGTGATATACATACACGACGGAATATTATGCAGTTATAAAGAAGAACAAAATCATGAACTTCACAGCAACCTGCATGGACTTAGAGTCTATAATATTGAGTGATGTATCACAGAAACAAAGAGCTGAGTATCACATGTTCTCACTCATAAGTGGACCTTGAACGAGGATCATAATACTGTAAGAAAAGGATTGACAGTAATGGGAAACTGCTAGGAGGTGGGTGGGGAAGTGGGATTGGCAGTAGTGGGACTCTCCCTGGGGAAGAGAGGGCATACCTCAGCAGCAAGGGTACCTGCATAAGGAACATCTGTATACCTCACCCTGAATTGTTCCCCACATCTTTAAAATAAAAATAAACAAACAAATAAATAAATAAAAAGGGGAAAAAATAAAATAAGAGGCAAAAAAATAAAGTCTTGTTCGATAATTCTAACTATGTCTTCCTGGAGTTGATATCTGTTATCTTTTTCCTTACAAGTCATTGAGATTTTCATAGTTCTTTGTATGCCAAGTAATTTTGTGTTGTATCCCGGGCATTTTGAATATTATACAACTCTGAGTCTTGCTTAGTTTAGTTTAGTTTCGTTTTTTTTTCAGTAGACCTCCTCTGTGGCCTACCTTTGTTTAGTTTTTATGTAGGACCATGATTAGTAGGGTTTTCGAGCAATTGACCTAGTTATGATCAGGTTACAAGTAATTTCTAGCCTTCAAGTGCTGTCTCATATCAGTTCAGGTCTCAAAGTGTTTTTGGTGTTATTTGGATAATGTGGACCACCTAGGGGCCAGTCTGGAGCCTGGAAAATGTTCTGTCCCATAGTTCAGTTCTCAAAGACGTTAGTGATGCTATGTAGGGTCGGATGCACTCAGGCGGTCTGCAGGTAAGCCCAGGAGTTTGTGCACAACATCATGTGAGCATTTCCTTGAATGCTTTCCTCTCAGCATTCCTCCAGCTACTTCCTGGTTTCTAGATGCCCCTTCTGTGGAAAGCTGGGCCTTTCGTTTTCCTGCTTTTACCTGTACTTCCTGCAGCTGCATCTACCACTGGAGCCAAGTGGCAGGAGGACAGAGAGAAAAAAGAAACAGGAACTCCCTCCCGTGCTCTCAGGACCACGGCTCCTCCGTCAGAGCGAATTCCCACCCCTCAGCATTTTAGGTGCCTGCCTGGCCACTACTGCCATTCCTCTCATGGGGGATCAGGTGGGAGAAAACAGCATGTGTGTACACAGGGCTTCCCCACTCCCTCATAACCCTCAGAACCCTGGGGACCTCTTTCCCTCTCTTCAAATCGAAGAATCTTTTGGAGTCTTTTCTGTCCATGCCCGGTTTCAAGCGGCGGTGGAATTCAGGCCATGGCAGACCACGGGAACAACGAAGCAGGAAACTCACCTGAGGGTCAGGGTAACTTCTAGTCTCCCTTCCCAGTACACTTGCTGCCGTTCACCTTTGGAGCCCTCCGACAGCTGACCTACACGTTCTGTTCGTAGGCTTCTGCTGTGTTCACATGGAAGAGATGGGTGAAGTGTGTTGCTCCATCTTGATCCTTGTTGATATGTTGGCGTTTCCAGAAACTACTAAGATAATTTTCTAAGCACTGTGTGCTTTACAGAATGGGGAATACAAAAGGGAAATGAAAGGGAACACGCATTTATCTGAAGACATACCATGGTTTTCAAGTTATGAAAATAACTTTATAAGGCAGAAAAAAAACAAGAAGCGTGAGGTTTTGTCTCTGGACAGTGGAATGACAAAGAAAAGGCCCGTGTCCCAGGCCTTCCCAAGACCCCAGGCAGCACTAGTCCTTATTCCTGAAGCACGGCGTCTGTTTCGTGATTATGAGGCATCAGGGACTTTGTGAGTTGCCCCCAAAAGAATGCGCCTGGCTGAGGCTAACAGCCTTGGATGGGGGGAAGCATCTGTGTGGCTGACCACCTGCAGGAGATGTGGAGTCTGAAGATTGTCTCGACAGCCCTCACTTCACATTGTGAAACGACAGCCTATCCACAGGGCCATACGGGCTACATATGGCAGACTCCAGGAGAGGCTTTTTCTGTGGGTTTTGATGTGAAGGGTGCCCTGGAGCTGTGGGCATTTGGGTTGTGTGCTCTACTCACAGGAAAGAGCCCAGTGATTAGAAAAAGCAGGGGTAACAATGCCAGCCTGTCATTCCTTTTCTCTGTTTACCCTCTGCCTCTTTCCTTCTCCCCCAGAGTTGGAGGAAGACGATCATCACCTCTCCAGAGCCCTCGAATCTCCCTAGAAGAAGTTGTCCGCTCTCCCAGAGTGCCCCAGTGGGACTGAACCACTCGGGCTGGCTGGAGCATGTCCCTGACACGGGTGAGTTCCACACCCTCTCTTGTGTGGTGTGCTCTGGTCTTCTAGCAAGAAGGACAAGAAGTGAGTACGATTGGCAGCTAGAGCCACCGGTTTGTGAGAGACATGATGGTCTCATTCCTTCAGTTAGGAAAAATGACTGGAGAAAGAATTCTTGGTTTGGGACGGGTTCCACTGTTGGCTCCGTCAGGTGATTTTGAGCAGAACTACTGACTATCCCTTGCCTTAAAATAGGTCATAACCTCAAGAAGAAATAATCATATAGTGACTTGTCTCTAAGACAATGAAGGAACTTGGTTGCTCTCCCTTCTGAGGAAAATAACCGAGCCTCTTCCTTGAGTTTATTACAGCCTCTGTGAGTCCCTTTCCCCCAATTAGAGCAAACACCATCATATCACATATTTGCCCAGAAGAGGGCTGGCTGGCTTTTTGTGCCAGAAGGGAATTCTTCTACTGCCTTCCGTACATCTAACCCAGGAAGGCTGGACTTGCTGAGATGTGTTCAAGGGCTCCTGGTAGAAAGACTGATGTCGGGTCTCAGACCTTGAGCAGGTACAGATCATGTTAGATGGCAAATGTATCATCAGAGAGCATTTAGGTGACAGGAGGAAGAGGCTAAACCTGGTGTTTAAGAAAGTCAACTGGCCGGGCGTGGTGTCTCATGTCTGTATTCCCAGCATTTTGGGAGGCCAAGGTGTAAGGATCACTTGAGCCCAGGAGTTCAAGACCAGCTTGGACAACATAGTGAGACATCATCTTCACATAAAATAAAATTTTAAAAAATCAGCTGGGCATGGTCGTGTGTGCCTGTGGTCCTGGTTAATCAAGGAGGCTGAAGTGGAAGGATCACCCGAGCCCAGGAGTTCAAGGCTGAGCTGAGCCGTGATCATGCCGCTGCACTCCAGCCTGGGTTTCAGAGTGAGACTTCAACTCAACAATAACAACAACGAAAAAAAAGTAAACAAAGCTAGGTGTAGTGGTGTGCACCTGTAATCCTAGCTGCACGAGAGGTTGAGGCAGGAGGATTCCTTTGACCAGGAGTTCAAGACCAGCCTGGGCAACATAGCAAGACCCTCTCTTTTTGAAGAACAACAGAAATGCCATAAAAAAGAGAGGTGAACAAGGGTAAGGCCTTGAACAGAGTGGAAAGAAACAAAATAGCCACACCTATGAAACTTGCACTGTGTCCCGACTTGGGAGGAGGAGTGCGCTGGCATTTAAGGCTGTCAGTAGTCTGATCCTGGTGGAGCTTAAGACCCACAGAAAACCAGTGCACTGAGGCAGAAGCTGCTGGCACGTGGTTGTCGCCCAAGCACTAGAGTTAGTTGTATGCTGTAAGCAGTCCCAGTGGGAAGCTCTGTCTCCTTATCAGACCCCTTCTCCATGTTGCGGGAAGTGGGGAGGAGGGAGCCCTGATGCAGCTCTGAGTCCTGATTCCTAATTTGGCTTTGTGATCCTACATCCTGGTCCCCGGGGAGCTGGAGGCTCAGATCAGCTGGTGGATGTGGTTTTGCCATTAGCAGTGGGCGTGCTGCATCGCCAAGCAGGCTATTATTCTTTCCCACATAGTTGTGATCTTAAACTCATAGCAAGAAAAGTTCTGAAAAGGTGCTCGACCACTGCTGCAAGAATCTTTTCCAAGGAAAAGATCATTTTTCCCCGGAGCCCCTCATGAAGTCATGGAGTCATTTAGAGGCTCGTGGAAGGGGCGGGAATAGGAGAGAGGAGACTTTTTCTGGAGAGAATTCTCAAAACTGTTTTTGGCCCTTGAAGACCTTCCCTTCTCACACACTCAAAGCTTCATAATAACTATTGTTTCAGAATGTCACTCGAACTAATTGGCAGACGGATTTACTGCAGAAGGAATTTTAAGACCTCAGTGACACCGCTGACATGACCAGCGCTGACACCACCACTAAGGGCCCTGCTCTGGAAGGTCAAAGGTCAGGGCTCTGGCCAAGCTTCATACTGAGGAGAGAAATCAGACATATCCCTTCATTTCCCTGGCAGATGCCATAAGTAGTCCTGGCAGGAAGCTCCCCCTCTTATTTTTTTTTGAGTCAGAGTCTCACTCTGTCACCCAGGCTGGAGTGCAATGGTGGCACTTTCATGACCACCGCAGCCTTGACCTGCTGTGCTCAGATAATCCTTCCACCTCAGCCTTCCAAGTAGAACCACAGGCATGTGCCATCACGCCTGGCTAATTTTCTGATTTATTGTAGAGACGAGGTCTCTCCATGTTGCTCAGGCTGGTCTCGAATCCCTGAGTTCAGGCAATCCTCTCGCCTCCACCTCCCAAAGTGCTAGGATTACAGGCTTGAGCCACCGTGCCCATCTGCTCTGCCTCTTTAGCAGAATTTCTTCTCCATGTTTTGAGGGTCCCTTTATTTTCAAAAAATGAGTGACAATTCATGCCTTCCTATTTCATAAGGATACTATGAAGGGTCTCTGTGCTTAGTTTAGGAAATCTTTCTTTTCTTTCCTTAATGGTTGCTTCCACTCCATTATGAACATTTAGATTATATCCAACTGGTCTGTTACAGATTTCTAGGGTTTCTACATTATACAGATTGCATTTCCCGTTTCTATCGCTGGAACGCCTTATCGTTCTCAATTTTTTATCCTTTTTCGTCTCAGTTCTGGGAGAATTTCTGTTTTATCTGCTGCTGTGTTTTCCTTCTTTCATCTCAGCTATGTTCACAGCCCTCACTGGGGTCTGTGATCAGTGAGAATGTTTCTAGTCTAATCTTTCCATTGTCCTCTTGCAGCTTGTTGGGAACAGAAAATCAGGAATTTTGTAGTTTTCTCTTGTTATGGCTTTCAGTTCATTTCCAAACTTGTCTGCTCTTTTTTTGAGCAGCAATTGTTTTTAACAGGTGGAATGCCTTCATCTGCTCATCCTCACAGACATCAGTCCTCTCTCACTGGCGTGCTGTCAAGTAGCACTAGAAATGACGTTCTTTCAGGGACTGTTGTGTGTTCCTGTCCAAACCCTGCAAATGTGGCTGAAATAGGCCATGAAAAGTGGGGCTTTCCTATCATGTGTACCACAAGTTCAGACACCTAAGAACTTGGAGGGAGCTGTAGCAGTCCTGGCAGGAGCTCTGCCTCCTTATTAGGAAATCCTCCCCATGTTTGGAAGGGTAGCCAAGAGCTAGCCCAGTCTGGGAGCATGCCACACTCCGCCCCACGAGAGGGGGCCCAGGACAAATCCACCATCCAGTCCTCTCCTAGTGGAGTCAGCAGGCCAGATGCAATCTATGATCCTAGTGCCTCCAGAGCTCATGCCCGTGACATTGGAAGGGTCTGTGAGGAGGAATTTGGCTACCGCCTTCTGGGTGTATGGCTATTTCGCAAGCTGTAGGTCACTGCTCTCTTCAAGCAGATTATGTCTTTGTTGTATTTGTCGGCTCATACCACTCCACAGCTTCTAGTGCCAGTAAAGGATTTTCCCTATTTTAAGCACTTTATGAAGACACCGTATGTTCACAGACATGTGCAGTCATCACCAGAGTCAATTTTAGAATGTGCACAATACTTCATAACGGACTCTTTACCCTTTAGCTAGTAGCCTTCCCCCACCCTAAGGAACCATTCATCTCCGTTCTGTCTCTGTAGCTTCCCTATCCTGAATTTGTAGCTGAATGGAATCACACGGGGCCTGGTCTGGTGAACTGGCTTCTTTCGCTTAGCATACTGTTTTCAAGGCTCATCCACATTGTCACATGAAGCAGTACCTTGTTCCTTTCTATGGGAAAAATGATATTCCCCTTCAGGGATATACCACAGTTTGCTTATTCATTTACCTATTGATGAACATTTAGATTATTGGCCCCGTTTGGCTATTGTGAATAATGCTGTCAGAATGCTCATGTACGAATTTCAGTGTAGACGTTTTAATTTCTCTTGGGAGTACACCTAGGAGTGGAAATTTGGGGTCAACTGGTAACTATGCTAAATCATTTGAGGAACCGTCAGACTGTTTTCCAAAGCCATTGCACCATTTTATGGTCCCACAACCAGTGTAATTTCTCCAATTTCATCATACCCTCGTTAACAATCATCACCGAATTTTTGATTCTGGCCAAACTAGTGGGTCTAAAGTCGTATCTGCTAGGAGGATTGTGGGATTAATAAATAAATAAAGTCATATTTCATTGTGGTTTTGACTTGCATTTCCCTGATGGCTAGTGAAGTGAAGCATCTTTTCCTGCACTTATTGGCCAGTTGTATATCTTCTTTGGAGGACTGTCAGCTGTATTACATTGATCTATATGTCTTTCCCTGTGCCAGTACCATACTGTCTTGATTACCATTGCTTTATACTAAGTTTTGGAATCAGGAAGTGTGAGTCTTCCTACGTTCTTCTTTTTCGACTGTCTTGGCTGTTCTAAGTACTTTATAATTTCATATGAATTTAAGAATGAATTTAAGAATTAGGTGGTCCATTTTTACAAATAAATCATCTGATTGTGTTGAATCTGTAGATAAGTTTGAGGTGTATTGCCATCTTGATCATATTGAGTCTTCTGGTCCATGAACATGGGTTTTTTGGTTTTTTTCCCATTTATTTAGAGCCTTGTTAATTACTCTCAACAATGTTTTGTAGTTTTTAGAAGTGTATTTCTAAGTATTTTGTCTTTTTTGATACTTGTTATGGACTGAACTTAATCACCTCAAAATTCACATACTGAAGTCCTAACCCCCAATATGACTGTATTTGGAGATAAGGCCTTTAGGAAGGCAATTAAGGTTAAATAAGCTCATTAGAGTAGGACTCTAACCTAATAGGTGTTCTTATAAAAAGAAGAAGGAATACCAGATAACTCTCTCTCCAAGCATGCACACAGAAAAGGACACATGCAGACACAGTGAGAAGCCAGGAAGAGGGGCCTTGCCAGAAACTGAGTCTCCCAGCACCTTGACCTTGGACTTCTAGACTCCAGAACTGGTGAAAAAAAATTTCTGATATTGAAGCCACCCAGTGTGTGGCATTTTGTTAGAGCAGTCCAAGAAGACAATACTATTGTAAATGGAGTTTCTTAATCTCATTTTCAGATTGTACATTACAAATGTATAGAAATACAATTGATTTTGGTATATTGATCTTCTATTTCTGCAAATTTACTGAATTCATTAATTATAGTAGTTTTTTATTGAATTCCTTAGAATTTTCTTCATATAAGATTATGGCATCTGCAAACACAGATGTTTTACTCCTTCTTTTCCAATATAGATGTCTTTTATTTCCTTTTTTCTAGCCTAATTGCCCAGTTAATGAAGTAGGGTCCGAGCAATTAAATGACAGCCCACCGACTCAAATTAACAAAGGAGAGGTTTATTAGTCAAGGCTCTGTGGCCAGTGACCACTTGCTGGAAGCATAAGTTCCAAGACAAGGGCCCCGTCCTGCAGCAAAGGATTGTCTTAAATAGCCCTTAACCATATTCTGAAGGCCTGGGCTATGTGTGTTAGGGGCTTTCTTTGATCTAACTGCAACATTTCCTATCTCCTGCTGGCGCAAGCAAGCAAGCAAGTTTACAGAAGCAGATGTAGCTGGTTATGCAGGTGCAGCGGATAAGGGTACAATTAATTGCGTAATGTCTGCAGAGAAAGTTTCCAGGAAAGGAGTAATGCCTGCCTCAAGGTTAGAGCTATTCCTGCTTTTCCCTCTTACACTTCTTTCTTTGTTCTCTTTGTTCCTTCTTACATTAAAATGTACAGGACAATGTTCAACTCATTGTACAGGACAATGTACAGGACAATGTTCAACTCAATGCTTACCAACATTGTTGGTAAGCAGTAGTATTTGGAAAGAAATCTTTTTCTTTTCTGAGCAGTAGTTCTCAACATCAGGCTTAAAATACTCAGTAAATCATGCTGCAAACAGATATGCAGTAATCCAGGTTTTTTCATTTATAGTGCACAGGCAGAGTAGATGTAGCATAATTCTTAAGGCAAGAAGTGGCAAGAGTGGACATCCTTGTCTTGAACTTGATCTTGAGGGAAAGCATCTGATCTTTATCATTAACTATGATGTTAGTTGTGGGCTTTTATAGATGCCTTTTATCAGGTTTAGGAAGTTCTCTTCTATTCCTAGTTTGTCAAGTGTTTTCATCATGAGAGGATATCAGATTTTGTCAAATGATTTTCTGTGTGTTGAGATGATCATGCTATTTTTATTCTATTGATATGGTATACTTGTAGTTTTCAGAGTGTATTACATTAATTGAGTTTCAGCTGTTAAGCCACTCTCGCACTCCTGGGATAAATCCCACTTGACAAAAGTGTGTAATTATTTTTATATTGTGCTGAATTTAGTTTACTAGTATTTTTTAAAATGTTTTAACATCCATATTCATAAGGGATACTGGTCTGTGATTTTCTTGTGATGTTTTTCTTTGATTTTACTATCAAGATAAGTTGGGAAGTATTGTTTCCTATTGTTTTTTAAAACAGTTTGTACATAATTGTTTTTTTTCTTTCCAAAATCCCAACTCATTCAGTAGAATTCAGCAATGAAGCCATCTGTGCCTGGGCTTTTCTTTGTAGGTAGTTTCTTGGTTACTCACTCAGTCTCTTCATTTATTGTGTCTAATTGTTTGAATTTTTTCATGAGTGAGTTTTGGTAGTTTGTGTCTTTCTAGGAATTTTTCCATTTCACCTAAGGCATCTAATTTGTAGGCATACAGTTGTTCTCGTTTTACCCACAATACAACTTCTTTCAAAACTGAAGCCAGTCCTCTCAAGCCCTGCAGCTACTTCATCAACGATGCTTATGGAATATTCTAAATCCTTTCTTGTCATTTCAGCAATGTTCACAGCACCAGGAGTAGATTCCATCTCAAGAAAGCACTTTCTTTGCTCACCCATGAGATGCAGCTTCTCATTTATTCAAATTTTAGATTTCAGCAATTCAGTCCCGGCTTCGGGCTCCACTTCTCATTCTAGTTCTCTTGCTGTTTCCACCACAGTTGCAGATGCTTCCTCTGCTGAAATCTTGAACCCTTAAGTCATTCACGAGAGTTGGAATCAACTCCTTTCAAGCCCCTATTAATGTTGGTGTTTTGACCTCTGACATAGTTTGGATGGTTGGCCTCTCCAAATCTCATGTCAAAATGTGGTCCCCAATGCTAGAGGTGGGGCCTAGTGGGACATAGTTGGATCTTGGGGGCGGATCCCTCACCAACAGCTTGGTGTCATTTTCATACTAATTAGTTCACATGAGAGCCAGTTGTTTAAGAGTCTGGAACCTCCTTCTCTCTCTCCTTCTCTCCTTCTCTCTCTCTCTCTCTCTCTCTCTCTCTCTCTCTCTCTCTCTCTCTCTCTCTCTCTCTCTCGCTTCTGATCTTGCCATGGGACACACCTGCTTCCCCCTTCACCTTCCATCGTGATTGTAAGCTTCCTGAGGCCTCATCAGAAGCCGATGCTGGTACCATGCACAACCGTAAGCCAAATAAGCAGTTTTTCTTTATAAATTACTCAGCCTCGGGTATTTCTTTATACGAATGAAAAACAAACTAATACAACTTCCTCCCATGAATCACCACTGTTGTTTTTAGTGGCATCTAGAATGGTGACTCCTCTGCAGAAGGTTTTAAATGTACTTTAAATCACCATCTGTAAATCACCATCTGCAGCAGTGATAAGCCTTATGAAATGCACTTCCTAAAAAATAAGACTTGAAAGTCAAAATTACTCCTTGATCCATGGGCTGCAGATTAGATTAGATGTTGTGTTAACAAGCATAAAAACAACATTAGTACATCTCCATCGAGCTGTTGGGTGACCAAGTACATTGTTGGTAAGCAGTAGTATTTGGAAAGTAATCTTTTTCTTTTCTGAGCAGTAGTTCTCAACATCAGGCTTAAAATACTCAGTAAATCATGCTGCAAACAGATATGCAGTCATCCAGGTCTTTTCATTTATAGTGCACAGGCAGAGTAGATGAAGCATAATTCTTAAGGGCCCTAGGATTTTCCTAACAGCAAACGAGCATTGGCTTCAACTTACAGTCACAAACCCCTAACAGTCCCTTACAAGAGAGCCAATGTGTCATTTGAAGCCAGGCATTGACTTCTCCTCTCTTGCTATGAAAGTCCTAGGTAGCATCTATTTCCAATAGAAGGCTGTTTCATCTACTATGAAAATCTGTTTAGTATAACCACCTTCATCAATGATCTTAGCTAGATCATCTGGGTAACTTTTTGGGGCTTCCCCATCAGCATTTGCTGCTTCACCTTGCACTTCTATGTTATGAAGATGGCTTCTTTCCTTAAACTTCATAAACCAACCTCTGCTAGCTTTGAACTTTTCTTCTGCAACTTCCTCATTGCTCAGCTTTTTAAAAACTGAACAGCGTTAGG